GGAAAAGCAGAGGATCAGCAAAGTGGAGGAAGACCTCCGTGAGATGGATTGATGCCATGACTTGAACCAGGGGTTTAAGCACAGCAGAGATTATAAAGACAGCACAGGGCTAGGCAGAGTTTGGTTCTGTTGTATGTAGAGTCACTGTGAGTTGCTGCCAACAGTAGGACACCTGATAACAACATTCAGGAACACTAATTGACATTTGGGTTGTTATCAGGCTTTTTCTATTAAAATAATATTGTGCGCTTAAAAACAATTTCTAGCATGAGTGTTTGAAATGTATCTTGTTATGTGCTGTCGAGTCTCCTGCAACCCAGAGCAACCCTGTGTACAACAGCTCTGAACCCTGCCCTGTCCTGAGCCAGTCTAACTAATTCTGACACACCAGCCCCCATTGCCCTATTTACTGTATCAATCCACCACATCCGGGCTCTTCTTCTCCTGCGCTGTCCTTCCACTATTTCAAGCATGATGTCCTTCTCCAAGGACCAGTCTCTCCTGGCTATTTGTTCAACGTATGTGAGATGGAGCTTCAAAATCCTAGCTTCCAAGGAGAAACTTGGTTTCACCCTCTCCAAGACAGACCTATTTGTTTTCTTGACAGTCCATGGGTGGTACGTTCAAGACTCATCTTCAACACCACAATTCTAAGGCATCAATTCTTCTATCATCCTTAGTCATTGTCCAGCTCTCTGATGCATAACAAATAATTGCTCCTCTTTGAAATGTATCTTACCTATTAGAATTACCTTACTTTTGTTTAGCTGTTTCATAGTAGCCTTAATTCCCCCCCCCCCATATGTTCTGAACCTGGAGAGAGGATGAAAGACAGACAAGTTTTGAGGACGTTCTTTCATAGGGTCACTATGAGTCACCTGCAACTCGACGGCACTTAACAACAAACATATTCTTTCTTGAGTAACATAATGTGCTAAGTTTTTTTTCTATTACTGGTGTCTTATTCTTATTTTTTAATTTTGTCTTGCATTACCTGTAGTTTCTGGGCTTTTTAAATGTTTGCTATGTATCTATAATTTACTGCAACTTTTAATATTTATCTCATTTTGTCATAATGCTTTTTGGTTTGAACATAATTTGTTTGGGATCAAGATTGTGATTTTTATTTTGTTTGCCTTTTCATGAATACACTTTTCTTCTTCCTTTTACTCTGATTCTTTTTCCTTGTTTATAAACAATATGTTGTTTTGCACTCTCAAGTCAGAACTAGGTTTTTAGAGGGCATATATCAAATAGGGGGAGGCACAGTAGGTTTGAGGAATCCGAGTACATGTGGTGGCTCTTTGGGGCCCACGAGGGGGTTGGCAGAGCAGACTAGCCAGATGAATGGGGGTCTGAGGCAGGGAGTTTCCCAGCAATTGGGCGTGCAGGGCTGCTAAAACACTGTAGGGCCCTCGGACCTGTGGCTCTTGGGCCTGTCTTTCATTGTTTTTGTTTAGACATTCCTCTAGGTTGTATAGCCCTGGTGTACAAGTAGCCATACTGCGGTCACTTGTGGTTGCTGTGAGGCTGAACACTGTGACACTGATTTGTCAAATGCGTTAATGGCTGGTTGCCCAATGCGGACAGAGTGGGGTGGAGCTCCCCAATGAAAACAAGCTTGGAAGGAGGAGTGGCATCCACTTCCATAATAACTTGCCTCCGGAAGCCCTATGAACCTGGAGAGAGGAAGAAAGGCACCCAAGTGTCGAGGATTCTCCTTCATAGGGTCGCTATGAGTTGCCTGAAACTCGATGGCACTTAACAACAACAACAACAACAAATCAATTAGGAGTTGACTGTCCATCTCCTCCCTGCAAAACTGTTGGCAGATTTGAACTGCATGCATTATGTTTGACAGTGCAGTTCCTTACCACTAGGCCATACTACTGAATTTTTCTGTTAGATAATCTGAAAATAAATTGTTTTTTCTTCTTGTAGTGAGTTGAGCCTGTTACATGTATTCAAATAACAAATAAGAGGAAGCTCTGGGGGTCTAGTGGCAAGAAGCTGCACTGCAATCTCTAAGGCATTCAAGGCCTCCAGCTTCTTTGTGGGAGAAGGATGGACAATAATATCCTTCCATGCAATTAACTGCTTTTGTAAACCTGCAAGAGGGTCACCTATGGGATGGTTCCAACTCTGTGGTACACAACAACAACAACAGACATAAATAAACATTGATACTCATCAAATAATGAATATGCTTGACTTGGTATGCATAAATTTTTATCTCTAATATCTAATAATTTACTATGTATTGTTTTATATTATCTTTCTGCCTTTTGATATTTAGAAAAGTTCATATTTTGTACTAATGCTTACTTTTCTATTCTTTTATATTTTAAAAGCAGCATTTAAACTCATACTAAAAAGCCTCTTGAGATTTTTAATTACAATTGCACTGAATATTTAGAGTAATTAAATGTGGACTGGCATTTTAATGATGTCAAATCTTCAAATCAGAAAAGGAAAGTAGTATACATCTCCACTTAGATTGTCTTTAATTTTAATTTGTAACATGTTTTTATTTGGGCCCAGAGAGGTTGCACACTTTTGTTAAAAATTTCCACAGTATTTTAGTTTTTCCAAATTCAATATGTAACTGCTTCTTGCTTGTATACAAAATATAATTGGTTCATTGATTAACCTTATGTCTTGTGTGCTTATTAAATTCGCTTACTAGTTGTACTTCCTGAAGAAAATCAAAGTCTACAACTTTCAATATGGATTACATCTCAACATCAAGAAGACAAAAATACTGAACATTGGATGAGAGGCAACATCATGATGATAGATGGAGAAAAGACTGAAATTTTCAACTATTTCATTTCACTTGATCCACAATCAACACCCATGATAGCAGCATTCAAGAAATCAGAAGTTGTTTTGCACTTTGAAAATGTTCTGTTCATGACCTGTCCAATGTGCTAAAGAGCAAGCATGTCTGTTTAAAGACTAAGGTGTAGCTGATCCAAGCCAGGACATTTTCAGTTTCTTCATAGGCATGTGAGAGTTGGACAGTGAATAAAGAATACAAGAGAATATTCAGAGCCTTTTTATTGTGATGTTAGTAACGAGTATTTAATGTCCCTTAGCAAAAGGAACAAGTAAGTCTGCCATGGAGGTAACACAATTAGGTTGCTCCTCAGAGGCAAAGATGGTGAAACTTCATCTAGCATACTTAGAGCATGTTGTCAGGAGGGCTAGTCCTTGGAAAAAGACATCATACTGGGAAAGATAGAACAAAGCTCCCTGGAAAGGTACAGAGTATCAGCAAAAGAGAGGAAGACCCTCAAAAAGATAAATTGACCCAGCAAGTGCAACAGTAGGCGTGAGCATGGGGATTGTGAGGATACCGCAGGGCAGGGCAGGCTTTTGATCTGTATTACAGAGTAACAAAAGTCATAGTTGATTCAATGTCACATAACAATAGCAAAAGCAGCAGGTTGCAATTGTTGGCTTATTTGTATGTATGTAAGTCCATACATATGTGACTTCTTGTTTAGTTCAATAACTGGTGATTCATCTCCATTCTGTTGTTCAGCAGTGTGTACAGGAGACTTTTCTTCCAAGCCAGCAAGTTTCAGCAAGGTTCTAGGTTTCAAAGACAGAGTGTTTTGTTAGTAAAACTCTGTTCTTTGGGGATCCTTGTATCCCGTACAGCAGCATCTAAAAAAGAGCTCCACAACTCAACCTCATTCACAAATGAAAGTACTGTGTACAAACTTGAGTGGACCGATATGCAGAAAAATATTTTAGAAGAATCAATTTTTCCATTGAAAAATCCCTTTAAAGGGCTCTCTTAATGCAGAGAATTGGGGTGTTTGGGTTCCTACTGTTAGTCCAGTACCTATTATAGAAAGTCGATGCTCTTTAACAAATGAGTAATGAGATTTGCATTGGAGAGGACTCTGCTTTACTTAGGTGTGTTACTTGTTTGTGCTTTGAATGAGTCTATCTGTTTTGGGAACCTTCCTGTTGGAGGAAAGAGTAAGATATGGTAGTGGTACTGCTGAGAGGCTTCAATCCAGATATCTGTATCACAGATAGCAGCATCTAAGGTAGAGCTGCATAAATGACATCTACATCATTGAGTCAGAATATTGGGTGTGCAGGCTGAGCTAAACAGTATACTGAATATGTAAGGGCAGTTGCTGTGATTTAGGAAGCACAATTGGATTATTTTTGCTTTTATAAACATGTAGTCCTCTCAATGTTAGTTTATTTTTTTTTATTCTTTATTAGGACAGACTCATAGTGTATGGTGATCTGTCTATGAAATAATAAAACATCAGAGGCTGTCTATTGGGATCTCTTTTCTATGGAGAAGTGACAAGGCCAAGGTGTGTTCCCTACAAGCACAGGTAAAATACAATTGTCTAGAAACTGGAGGGGAAAATAATTTGAAGGGATCAACAATCACACCGGATAGGTAATGTGGGGAAATAAAACTTTATTTTGGTACCAAAATCTAACAGGTAACAGAAAAGTTCTAGAATAAAAAGAAGTTCAGAAAAATTACTTCACTGATGATCAAAGGAAAGGGAAAATATAGTTCTGCCTATATGCTCAGGCAATAACCATCTTCTTAAGCAGCATGGCTCTGCTGTCAACAGACCAAACTTAGAAATTGGGGAGAATTTGTTAAATTGATGCTGGTGAACTGTATTTAGAGTCACATTTGAAAGGAAAATTATTTGGAGAAATAAGCTAGACAGAGGGTCAGTGTGTCCATAAGTTTGCTTGTTGAAGTCATGAGGAGCTTAATTCAGTTGAGCAATATCAACTTCACTCCTTATATACTAATGAGTACTAAAACACTCCCTGGGGAGATTATATATATATATATATATATATATTTCTGTGTATAAATATAATATGGGGAATGAGTTGGGTCCAAAGTGGAATAATCAGTAGCAAGAGGAGGCACAGCAGGTGGGGCGGGGGCAGGTGGAGATGACACAGGTTGGACAGTAACAGGTGGTGTGGCAGGAGACTTGACCACACACTGGGCGGAAGCAGCAGCAGGGGCGGCAGCAGCTGGAGTCACAGCAGGAAGGACGGCAGCAGCTGGAGATGCAACAGCTGGGATGACAACAGCTGGACTGGCAGCATGGGGGACGGCAGCAGCTGGACTGGCAGCACTGGGGCCTGCAGCAGCTGGGGCGGCAGCAGGTGGGCTGGCAGCAGCTGGACTGGCAGCACTGGGGCCTGCAGCAGCTGGACACACAGCAGGTGGTCTGGCAGCAACTGGGGTGGCAGCAGGTCACCTGGCCTTGACCACAGCCTTGGTCAGAGGAGACAGAACTGCAACAGGAGTTGACCATGGTGTCAGAGGGTGGAGGTTCTGATATTAGTAAGAGAATGAGCTTAATGAATATGAGCTACTTTGTGCTGCATGTTCTCTTTTATATCCTGCTGTGAGGCTATTGAGACCATGTCCAGGCCATTTCCTAGTTTTATTTTTCTATAGAAATATTGGGCATTAAATTAGATAATTGTGTATTTCTAGTTAAATATTTTAAAAGGAAGGAAATTAATTCTTTTTTCTGGTATCTTACTATTTTTCAATCTGGTCTGTCTCATAGAATGAGTTTTCCCCATTCCTTTGTCCTCTGTGTCTCCTGAAAGGAGTCCATCACATGAATCACATTTACTAATTTGAATTTGTGTTCAATATATTACGCTTTCATGTCACTTGAGGAATTGGTCTTATGATGCCAAGATCTCTTTGATGTTTAAAGATATGTCAAAGGGTTGTGGTAGGGAAACAGAAAGGAAAAAAACCACATCCTCTCATGAGTCACTTGTGTGCAGTGAGGAAGACAGTCTACATCTGAGTCATTTAGATAATAGAATTTCATCACACTTGTGCGATCACCCTTTCCTTCCTTGATTGCAAACTGCTACTGGCGACTCATTGTTTTAAGTATTAAAAGGCACTGAGGGATATCTTGAAGGAACATTCTCTGACGCAACATGGAATAACTTGGGAAGCAAAATAAATAAAGGTAATAATTGATGTAAACTCATCAATTAAAATGAGAATCTGTGACACTCCATACTGAGATCAAGAAAAAGGGAAGACAAAAAAGTGATCCCAGATAATAGAATTGTCAGCTCACACATGTTTAAAATGAGTCAGATGTCGGATGGAAAATGGGATATTTTCTCATTTTCAAAATATTTCTGCATGGGTTATTTATTAATTTCAAAGGGAAATAGGCTAACTTTACTGTTGAGAAACTTGAGGAAACAGCCTTTGTCAAAGGATGGAAGCTTTTATATCATTAATAAAGGAACAAACAAGCTTCAGGTGCTTGCTAAACTCAGGTCCTGAAAAGACTCATCACGTTGTGTTACTGTACAAATTCATAACCTGAGTTTAGTCATGAGATAATATCAAATACATTCTCCACAACACCTGGCCTTTTTCTTACAAAATGTCAGTATCATCAAAGGGAGGCTAAGGAAATATCTATAATTGAAAAATGGCTCTAGAGAATGTTATTGGGACAACTATCAGCATTTGGATACGGGATGTATTTCGATATTGTTAGTCACTGTCTTGTCACCTCCAACAACAGTGCCCAGTATCGCTCCATTTTCTTGACTGAAACCTCTGAAAATTGAATCCGTTCCTGTGGCTACATTGTCCTCCTATTTCACTGGAGAATTTCTTCATTTTTACTGACCCTGTATTTTACAAAATAAGATGTTCTTTCTTGATAATGTGTCTAGATCTTACCATCCTTTTGTCCAAGGTGCATTCTGGTTGTATTTCTTCTAAAATGTATTTGTTTATTCTTCTGGTGGCGCTATCTTCCTAAATAACATGCATCTGGAAACTCTATGAACTTTGATAAACATCGATAGCTGTAGAGGGGCTTCAAGTCTTTTGTTTATAGGGTTGCTGTGAGTTGTGCTCAACTCGAAGGCAATCAACAACAGCAACAACATTCTTCTGATAGCCCTCAGCATTTCAACCTTCTTCACTAAAGCTATGTTTAGAATACGAGAATGTGCCGCAGATGATAGAATCACATCAATATTTTCTTTAATTTATGTATGTATTGTGGTGACCTAGTAGTAAGGAGCTGCACTACCAACTTGAAGGCACACAGTTCAAATTCAACAACTGCTCCCTTGAAGAAGGATGATCAGTCTCCTCCCTTGTGATTTACTGCTTCTGGGAACTTCCTGGAGGGTTAGCTCTGTGACAGTTCTGACTCAACAGCAAACACCACCAACAACAGTAATTGTGGTTATGAAAAGAATGATTTTGTTTTTCAGTGTTAGTGTATGAAAAATTAATAGTTTGTGCCTTTAGGGGAAATGCTAAAAAGTATACAAAAAGATTTTACTTACTACTACTTGCATGTTTGTAAGGGTGGAGGGAGAGTGCAGGAGAGGAAAACCCCAGATGAGTTTGATTGATATAGCGACTAGGACAATGGGAGTTGAAAAATGGATTGAAAAAGTATGGAGAATGGACACATCCCTGGTGTACACCCTTTCCAATATTGAACCATGCAGTGTTTCCTTGCTCTGTTCTGACTACGCTTCCTGGTCCAAGTATAGGTTTCACATTAGCATGAACAAGTGTTCTGGGATTTCCATTCTTCTCAGAGTCAGCCACAGTTCGTTATGATCCACACAGTCAAACGCCTTTATATAATCAGTGAAACACAGATAGATATTCCTCTGGTACTCCCTGCTTTCCGCCATGATCCATCTAACATTAGCTACAATATCTCTAGTACCACGACCACTTCTAACCCAGTCTGCACTTCTTGTGGTTCTCTGTTGATGTACTCCGCTCATTTGTAGATAATCTTCAGCAGAATGTTTCTTGCTTGTGATATTAATGATATTGTTTGATAATTTCCACACTCTGTTGGATTGCCTTTCTTTGGAATGGGAACAAATATAGATCTCTTTCAATCAATTGGCCAAGTGGTTGTCCTCCAGATTTCTTGAAACAACGTGGTGAGCACATCTAGGGCAGCATCTGTTAATCGAAGTACATCAATAGGTATACCACCAGTTCCTGGGGGCTTATTTTTTGCCAATTCTTTCAAAGCTGCTTGAACTTCTTCATTCATCACCCTAGGCTCTTGCTCATATGTTGTTTCATGAAATTCTTCTGTGTCTGCTAATTCTTTTCAGTACAATGACTCTGTATACTCTTTCCATCTTCTTTTAATACTTCCTGGATCATTTAATATTCTGCCTAAAGCATCCCTGATTATAGCAACTCAAGGTTTGAATTTGTTTTTCAGTTCCTTGCGCTTAAGAAATGCTGAGTGAGTTTGGCCCTTTTGATTTTTTTACTCCAGCTCCTTGCTCATTTTATTGTAATAGTTTACTTTGTCCTCCTGCGCTGCCTTTTGAAAACTTCTGTTCAACTCTTTAATATCTTGATTTCTTCCCTCTGCTTTGGCTTCTTGGTGTTCCAGTGCAATATTCAGAGTCTCTTCTGACATCCATATTGGTCTTGTCTTCCTCCTCTGTCTTTGTAATGACCTTTTGTACTCTTCCTGGATGATATTCTTGATATCCTCCTACAACTCATCTGGTCTTCGCTCATTGGTGTTCAAGGCCTCAAATCTGTTCTTGAGATGATTTTGAAATTAAGATAGGATAGACTCAAGGTCATATATTTTTTCCTGTGGATTTGATAGAATTCTAAAATGGAAATATTTTCTTTTGTACTCTTAGATTTGTGCCCTGATGCCTTTCATTAGTTTTGGTATATTCTGCATCAATAAATGCATCTTCAAGTATTGCTTTTTGTCTCATTCTCTCTTCCCTCCTTCTGGAACTCTAGATTATGTGTATGTTAACCTGAACTCTTAAGTTTCTTAGGTGCTTTTCTGTATTTTCTACTTCATTTTCCTCATCGTTTCAGTTGTTAAACTACTCTATTAGATTTTTTTAATAAAAATTTTCTTTTTCTTCCTATTTGAGTGCAGATTTACAAATGTCTTCTAGTCATTCATAAACATTTTAGGTTGCTAGGAGAAGAAATAAGTTTGTCCTAGAGAGGGTGAGACCAGGCTGCTCCTTGGAGGCAAGGATTCTGAACCTTCATCTAAAATACTTTGGACATGTTGCAAGGACATGATGCCCTTGGAGAGGGGCATCATGCTTGGGAGGGTGGAGGGACAGGGCAAGAGAGGAAGACCCTCAATGAGATGGATTGATTTAGTGACTGGGGTATTGGGGGTGGATATGTAGGAGCCAATATAATTGGCACAAGATAGAGCAAGTTTTAGGCCTGTTGTACATGGGGTCACTATGGGTTGCAGGTGACTGGATGGCACATAACAGATACAACAACAACAACAACATGAATTGTTACTTATTGATATTGTTATTGTTGGTATGTGCTGGCAAATGAGAATCGATATATAGCTAACTCTATAGTTGGTTTTCAGACACTGTAAATCACATTGGGGGTCAATTACCCATCCCAAACCATGTTCCTTTGGGTTGGCACTACCACTCCTTGCCACTAGGCCACCGGAGCCTCTGATTTACTAATACAATGAATTCAGGACAATATTTCATCAACTCCTTACTGTGCATTGTCATTCCCTTTACCCAATGAACCTCTGATGACATTTGCTCTTTTTCATCTATTATTTAAAACATACTTGTTAAAGTCTGGGTTAAATCTACATATGAAAAACATTTGTTTTTTGTAGCTTTTTATTTGTTTTTAGAAACTGAGTCATCTTTTTTAACATGGGTAGTACTTTTTTTAAAATGTCAGACATTATATGTGGAAAAAATCTGGATATCCTAGATGGTTTTGTTGTCCATCCACTTAAGATGATTCATTTTCTTCTGCAGTAGTGGGCATTCAAATCCTAGCTGCATCAGTAAAATTCCAGTGGTTCCAAATGGCTATTTTTTGTTAGTGTCCTTCTGACACTAACAATCTACTTTATCAACTACAAGCAAAATGCTGTCTTTTAATTTTTCAAGCAGCTCTTTCTTTCCTTCACTTGGAATTTTGAAGTCTATTTCTAGTAGTTATCTTCTTACTTCTTTGGCTGTTTCTTTTCAATGTTCTATGGTGGCTGTTGCTCCTCTTTTAACTAACTTACAAATGTTGGTGGGTCTCCTAGCTCAAGCCTAAAGTGTGTTTACTTTAGACACTTAACTCCCAGTGGTTCAGCAAATCACAGAATATTCCAAGGCATTAAAAAATATTCCATATGATGAGACTAATTGAAGATACAAGCAATCTTCATTCATAATCCAAGATGTACTTTTGAGTGGAAATGAGGAATAATTCCCCTACATAGTGGAAAATTATTCTTTCATTGCTGTTATTAACTACATAATAGACTTCATGAAGATTAAAGATATATGTGATTTAATATCATTTTCTTATTAATTAACCTATTAACTCTTAGAATGTGTGTTTTGTACATGTGATTTTTTTTAATGTTTCTCCTACTTTCACTAGCATGAACTCATCGGAATTTTTTCTCCCGTTTCCCATCCCAGGATAGAGTTCATAGAAATTTGGAAGCACCCTGGATTGGCCTAAGAGTAAAATTAATCCAGGAATTGATTCCTTGTCCACTCTATAGTTTTCATAGAACAAATTGACAACGTTTCTCAAGATCATGCTGTCAGTTACACATCTATGTCATTGAGATAATAAAATATTAATTTTTTTTTACATCTTCTTATTTTATGCTGTTTACCTGGATTCTCAGAAAAGTTGGTTTCCCTGAATGGTAGTTACTTTGTTGATGGACGAGGGTAAACTTAAAGAAGCTAAGTTTGTGAAAACTGAGTCAAATATGAGAGTTTGGGTAACCTCTAAAATGTCTCTGTCTTTCTAAGAGATGGGGCGGGCAAGAGGCAAGGTCAGGGTAAGGCAGATGGTGGAAAGATGAAGAAAGAAAACGAGACAGATAAACAGCTGAGAGAGACATGAAATGCAAGGAAAGATAATTTATTTAAGGAAGGTTTTCTGTGGCTCGTCCATATGCCTACCAAAATTCAAGTTTTTCAATACTCCTAGAGAAATTGATATATTATTGCTATTTCTGGGATTGTTTGTTAGTTTGTTTACATGTTTTTTTAGTTTTGGAGTTAATGTTTTTGGTCTTTTTTTTTTTTTAATATATCACTATCTATTGAGATTTTCCTGATAGAGATAGAAAAGTTTGAAAAACCCAATTACGTTCTGTGGTTATTGTGAATATAATTTCCCAGAAACCGAGAAGGACCACAACAAAGTCACAAATATAAGAAGATCATGTTTCTAGGCCAGGAAAGCAGAACTTTATTAAGAAACAACAGCAGTAAGATACAAAAATATTACTGTGGAAGGAAATACAGGGTAGTGCCATCAGGTGATGTCCATATTTGGGACAGGATGACTTGACCTTCAGAAATCAAAACATAGAAAGTAGAATTGGGGTTAATTTATTAATTTCTTGCTATAAATATTACTTAATGTCATACTTTGTGCTTTCTTGGAAGGGATAATCAGCAAAGGACAGTACTTGTCCTGAGATGAAAGTGTGGACACGTAAAGGTGAGAATAGCCTTTCCTACACTGAGGTGCGCAGGGTCTGCTCCTGTGAGGAAAGAAGGGATGGTTCAGGCAGGTGGCTCAGCAGCAAGAGGAGGCGCAGCAGGTGGGGCGGGGGCAGGTGGAGATGACACAGGTTGGGCGGTAGCAGGTGGTGTGGCAGGAGACTTGACCACACACTGGGCGGAAGCAGCAGGTGGGGCGGCAGCAGCTGGAGCCACAGCAGGAAGGACGGCAGCAGCTGGAGATGCAACAGCTGGGACGGCAGCAGCTGGACTGGCAGCACTGGGGCCTGCAGCAACTGGACACACAGCAGCTGGGGCGGCAGCAGCTGGACTGGCAGCACTGGGGCCTGCA